CGCGCCTCGATCGACACCGCGACGTTGTGCTGCTGAAACTGCTTCTGGGAAGCGGATTTTACCCACAACTGGCCATCAGCGACGAGTTCAACTACTGCAAGGGCGGAGGCCAGCAGTTCTTCCACACACGCCTCAAGCCCTTCGTCCTGCAGCACCCTAACGCCCACTTCGCCAAGCACTACGAGCTGCTCAAGCTGACTGATAGCGATCTGCTGGCCAAGCCGAACTTTTACACGCCCAAGCATCCGATCAGCGAACGCCACCAGTTGCTGTGTTACCAGTAGGTAGATGAGTACGGAATCGTAGTCCGTCACTAATCACTCCGCTCCGCAGGTCGCTGCTGGAGACCGCCAAGCCCTATCTGATCAACTGCATCCGCCTGCCGGCTGCCCAAACGCTGCTGCTCTTCAGCTTTTCCATCGACACGAATGCGGGCATCAGCCAGATCGTCTGCGACGGCTGGCTTGGACTGGATCTGCCGATGCCGGGCAGTGGAATGGAGCTCCTAAGCCGCGCCATAGAGTTGCGACAGCGGTGGAGCAGGCTGCTTTACGCAAAACTAGAGGGTGAGTGCCTCCGAACAATTTTTACTACAAATAACTAAATTGCCAATGTTATGTGATTACAACAGTCGAGTATTGTTGGAAATCGTTCCTAAATTCACTTATTCTTTTAATTCCGATATAAACTATGAGCGAGAGTGTCAGTTAACTGGCAGTTACTTAATCTTTAAAGGGTTATCCTCTAAATTTATAAATTCCAGATCTCAATAACAAGCAGGAAGCATCTTCAGGTGTGAGCGATGGGAGCAGCACGCTCTGGCACGAGCTTCTCGACTTCATGGCGCTGGATGTGGCGTATGCAATTAAAAGGTTGCTGCCCGCCGACATCAAGAGGCTGTACTCCCACGAGACTCCGTCGACGAGACTCATGGAGCTCAAGGAGAACCCCTTTGCCCGCGACTATCCCATGACGGTCAACGACGAAAAGGGCGGGCTCAACGTCTCCGAGCACGTGGTTTACAACTGCTTGGCGGAGCAGCAGTGGACAATGGCCATGGATGCGGCCCTACGAGCAGAGCCATGGACCTGCCCTCGATGCGATTTCGAGCTGGAGGAGTTCGATGTGCTGGAGCAGCTGGTGCACCGATCCCACTGCAAGGGTCGCAAGGCGCAGGGCCGTAAGACCAAATCGGATAGCCCTGTTTCGATGCCAGAGACATCCAGAAGCTCATCCTCCCACTCCTCCGGCAGCTATTACTGCAAGTCCTGCCAACGGGAGTTGCGGCTGTCAAAAATCGACATCCTGCGCCATCAAAAGCAGTGCCGAAATAGCAAGTGATCTGACTGAAATAAAGCAATATTTATAAGAAACAAATTCCGAAATGTATTCTTAGTCCACTTATTTTATGTTTAGAAAAATTATAATAGCTGTAAGTCTAACCTACCGCAAAATTGTCCAAAATCATAAATCCGAAATGTTTATTTGTTATTTGTTAGTCGAGCAAATTGTCAAATTGCTAGGCTTTTTGATTTCAGACACCAGGCGAACATAAGCGTTTAGCAGGTGGAGAAACGATCAGCTGATTAGTTTAATATACGCTTTCTTAGAGATGCCTTCGTGACAAGATCGTGACAAGCTCGTGATAAGATCGTGACAAGATGGTGACAAGCTAGTGACACGCTTGTGAAACGGTCATGGTTGCTCATCTCTGGTCTGCGCTTGGCTCTCAACTAACGGATCCTTCCCATGGTGATCAATTCCTATTGGTCAGTGGGAGGAGGGGAAATATGAAAAGGGCCGCCATCTTGAAAATGAACAGCTGTTTAAGTTCACTTTTGACTACCAGCTGCCACTTGCTATGATTTCTGTTTGCCTGGTGTCTGAGACCAGTAAATCCAGCACTTTGGCAGAAAATATGTTACGAATCCTTTCAATTTGCTGAAGTAAATGAGAGATTTTTCAACTTGAAGCCACCAGGTGAACAGGAAAATTCGTAGGTGGACAACGATTAGTTTTTAAGGCTTAACTAGAGGTGTGCTGCTCCAAAATATGTAGGGCCTTTGTTGTCGATCAAGCGATTGCCCCACCTCTAGTCTCTTATACTGAACTAACGGTTGTCTTCCAGTAAGAAAATCTAAGCGCCCAGCAGTCACTTGCTACGGATTATGTTTGCCTGGTGCCAAAGATCAAGAAACTACATTTCAGAGCTCACTGAAATGTCAATAATAGAAATCAGAAATCCAAAATACCATATTTGCTCGTCTAGCAAATTGTCGAATTGCTAGATTTAATTTTTTCAGACACCAGGCGAACATAATCGTTTAGCAGGTGGAGAAACGATCAGCTGATTTGTTAAATCGAAGCTAATTGGAGATGCCGTCGTGACTGCTTCCTTTCGGCATATCGTGATAAGCTCGTGACAAGCTCGTGACAAGATCGTGATATGCTCGTGAAAAGCTCGTGAAACGGCCTTGGTTGCTCATCTCTAGTCTGCGTTTGGTTCGCAACTAACGGTTCATTCCCATGGAGATCAGTTCCTATTGGTCAGTGGGGGAAGGGGAAATATGTAAAGGGCCGCCATCTTGAAAATTAACAGCTGTTTAAGTTTCCTTTTGGCTACCAGCTGCCACTTGCTATATTTTCTGTTTGCCTGGTGTCTGAGACCAATCATTTAGCGCTTTGGCAGAAAATTTGTTGCGAATCCTTTCAATTTGTTGAAAGTTTTTGGTTTGTTTTTTTTTTTCAATTTGATTGTGTCGGATTTTGATACATTTTTAGGGCAATTTTCGAATTCAGGTATAAAAGTAAAGATTGCTTTCAAAAAAACTTAAAATGTTATATCCGATGTTCGCCTGGTTTCAAAAACCAGGGAATTGTCCAGTTGCAGATTTTTTAATCAACTTCGAAAATCAATTTCTTTTAAAATCTTGCCTACATTTGAGCGCTGCCGCCGCTGGACAAACGCCGGGTCCAAGTGAGTCCCTCGGGACTGCAAGCTTGTGTGCGCGTTTCTGAATTTACAAAATGGTTTTTTGCGCAACAAGAAGATGAGAAGACGGATTTAGGAGATTTGTTTTGAATCTGCACCTATTTGTTGCGCTTCTCTCGCCCATATTGTTGTTGTTCTAATCTCGGGACACAAAAGTTACGCTAGTTTATGAAAAAGTCTTTTGCTGTCAAGCTGTCTAATTTTTAGACACAGTTGTACGCTTTCTCGGCAACCGCTACTTCCCCCTTATTCCGGCTTCTTCAGCTCGGTGCTGTTGTTACTGTCGAGTTTTGTACTTTGCTCTCCTTAGCTTCCTTGTCCTCTTTTTCTTAAGGAATAACGATATAGTTTAGTATCTCGACTATAAGATACCCGCTGCTTTGTGTGAAAGATAGGGGAAAAGCGATTTATCACAAGTAATAAAATATCTATAAATTATTAGTCTCTAGAGAACTACGTGTAATCTAGACCTAGATTTTCAATTGGAGATTTTTATATCGACAGCATTAAAGGCTGGTCAATTATATTCTCTGGTTTCAAATACAACATGCCCTTCTCCAAAAAAGTAAAAGGTATAATAAAAAACTTTCGGCAACATTTTGCGATGTTTTGCACAAAAAAGTGTTGCATGCTTTCGGGCATGTGCAGCATGCCGTCCCTTACACACACACAGACACTGGCTTGTTTAAAAGTTGATTTCAATATAAGTTTTATGTTGCGTAATATTGAAAAGGGCGACAGTGCCCTGACGGGCATTAACTTTTAAATTTTCTACCATGAATCGAAGTGCTTCGATTAAGCGAGCAGCTGTCGGCGTCCACTGCAAAATGTATTTGTTTCTAAAAATTAGAGATCCTTTTTTAAAGTACTTACCTTCCGTCCTTTAATATAACTCCAATTTAGCCATGTAGTAAGTACATTATTTTATTCGATTTATTCATAGTTTATTTCAATATGTTATATGTTAGGCAAATTATGTAAAATTATAAAAAACGTATATATAAGAACCCTTCTATCAATTACAGTTAGATTACAATTTTTAATTATAATTGTTTTGATTTTGAGCTAATTTGAACAAATTGTTCGCAACGTCATCTTTTTTTTCATTTTTGTGTGTGTTTTTCGAGATATTTATTACATTTATGTTGCGCTTGTCCAAAATTTAAATAAAATTCTACAAATAATTACTCTGTAAATAACTCTGAATACATAAAAAAAACGAGCACGATAAAAACGTAAGGTAACTTATGATTTATATAATACTTTTGCTTATTTAAAACCAAGTATGGATTGGGTACATTTATTCGCTTGATTCATTTAAAAATCGGTGCACCCTATGTCATATAACGTCGTTTTTCTAGGGGCAAGTATGGGGCTGTACTTTACACGTCTATCGCTATTTAAAGCACTGGCTTTAAACTCTCAGATCATTTCTAGGCCTGCCTTAAACAACAAATCATATTTTACTTAAGTTTCTTTTTCATTTTTCTGTTTTTTCCTCACACTTATGAAATTATGAAAGTAGTTTGGCAGTGCCTGAAAGTACATCTTTATTAAATAAAAATGCATCCAGATGTAGATTGCCCGGGTGGTGCTCGAAATTAAAAGTATAATTAATATAAATAATAAAAAAAAATTGTTTGATTGGGAAATATCGTACAGTATGGTAGGTATGGTAAGTATTGTATGTGAATCTGATCTGAACTGTACCCTTAACTTATAGGGGTAGCTGCTAGCTTTCTGAATTATCCATTATTTCTCATCTCACTTACCATACATTGTTGTCTTTAATGGTCTATACTCGTTATCATGTATCTAAAATGATTGCTGTTAGATGCCTTGTGTGTATTTTCGTTTCCTTCGTGAATAGTTTTTGGATATTAAATGAGTCGTGTGAAGGTAACTTCAATTTCAAGGTGTATTTTCAGACATACATACATATGGCATGGCAATGGGGGTACCAGCTATCGGGTTTGCTTATAACTTTTCTTTTCTTTGTTGTAATTGGTTGTATATTAAGTGCCTAGAATGTCATATACTTTTAATTTTATATATTTGTTATAGCTAGTACAATCGTTATTATACGAACTTATTTCGCCGCGCCTTCTCTCTAGACTATATGTATACATAGAAGTTTCAATTCATTGTTTTAATTGCGAATGCAAACTCTTTATCCTACCGTTAAATGCCCTTAACAAACTTACCCGCTATAAATATACTTTCGTGTAGTTTATTTCCCAATTCGTGGTGGCTTCCGTAAACCAAAAAAAAAATTAAGGATATAATTTGTATTCTTACGCTGAGTGGTATGGTATTCATTAAGATATAGCTTAATGCGATTAACTGTATGCATTTTACATTTACAATTTTATATAATTTGCAAGATTTTGAAAAAATGAAGTGTTTTTTCTTTTTACTTTTAATTTTTTCGCTTAAATAACCTGTCGTTGATTTGAAAGTTTCTTTTCTGTGTATAAATATTTTTTTCTTCATTATACGATATTTTGTTGTTCGTAGGGTTTATACAATTTTAAAATTGTGTGTGTATATATAGGTCTCTTTATATACGAATAATGCATTTTGTACCAAACTAACTATAGTCTACACAAAAAAAAGGTGGTATTAAAATTGGGTTTTTACGTATATCCGCTTATACGAATTTTGGGATTAGATGGTTCTAAAAGCGATTTTCATACGCCCTAACGGATTGGAGTCTCTCTGTCGAATTGCATCCTCGTTGTGGATAACAATATATATATATATATATCCTCGTTTTTGTTTCTTTTGCTGTGTTGCATGTTCATCGATTTAATTACTAAAACCTACATCAGTCGTTTGGCACACAAGTCACGCAGTAGCGTGAACCACGAAACAGAATCCTTCTGGCGGCTATTTTTACAAGCCGCAACAGCGGATGTTGATGTTGATGTTACATTTTGTTGTCGACTGGGGGCTGCGTATCGCATCTTCATCTTCATCTGCATCTCCATCTCCATCTCCACCTCCATCTGCATCTCCTCACGCAATATAGTTGGCAGCTTCGGCTTACCACGGATTCCTCCTCTGCTCTTCATTGGAGTTGCTGCTTGCCACCTGCTCCACCAATGCCATCTCATCATATCATCTCGATCACGATCTCGATTAGCTGCCGATGGGGATCGCCGTGTGTGCCAAACTAGACTTCGGTGCCATCCTCGCCCTCGTCGTCGAACAGCTGGCTGGTGCTGCCCTGGCCACTACGCGTCGTCGTCACGGACATAACCTTCTTCTTGGGCTTCGGTGGTGGTCGCGGTGGGATCTTGGCAGCCTTCGGTGAGTCGCCGCTGCTGCTGCCGGCATGGCTTGGAGATACGGCAGCTGCCGCCGCCGCCGGAACGGGCGATATATACGCGGCATGGCCCAGTCCGGCTCCGCTGATACTCGATCCGGGCATTATCGTAATCCCCTGGTGCCTGACCCCGTACAGCGGCTCCGTGTCCAAGGAGCTTAGCCGTTGCTGTTGCTGCTGTTGCAAATGCTGCTGCTGCTGGATCAGCTCGTGAATGGGCTCGTAAATCTTGCTGGCATTGGTCGCCGACGACACGGACGTCAGGCTGGGCGTAGCCGGTAGCGGACGATCCCGCATTGAGTACTGCTGACCGCCCTGGGAGCCGGATCCGGAGCCGGAGGCAGAGCCAGAGCCGGCAATCTTGGTCAGATTCAGGGTGGAGTTGCCGCCGGCGGTGGTGCGCAGTCCCAAATTGTCATAGACTGGTTCCGCCTGCAGTTCGGCGGTGGTGGCGGTACCCGTCTCGCTGGGATTTGGCGAGGTGGGGCTCTGGAACTCGCTCAGCTGGATGGTTCCGTGGCCAGCGGCACCGGACGTGCTGGGCGCCCAGCTGGGGGCGCGCGGCTTGCGGGGAATGGTCATGTAGCCCTGTTTCATGACCACACCCGTAGCCGGCGAGTAAACGACGGGGGCGGGCAGGAAGGGCGAGGTGGTGGCCAGAGGATGCGGCTGCTGCTGATGCTGCTGCTGTTGCTGCTGCTGCTGCAGAAGGTGCTGATGCTGGTGCTGGCGACTGCTGTTGGCAGTGGCAATTAGGGCCAGGTTGCGGGACTTGGGATGCTGCAGCGTCATGAAGCCGTTGTGCGGAGCGGCCAGCGTCTTGGTGCCGTAAATGCCGTGCGGCGTCATATGCGTGTAGACCGGACTCGTCAGCGAGGGAGGCGATCGGATGCCGTAGATGACCTGGTCGGGGATGTTCGACTGCGAGGACTGCATCGAAGGCGAGGTGGGCGGCACGCGGGCGGGGAAGGCCAGCAGGTCCGGCGGCAAGCTGTTGGCGTAGGCGTCGTCCACGTAGGTGTGGCGGGATCGGGGCGGGATCGTCGTGTCCGACAGAGCCACCGAGTGGGCTTCTTCGTCACGTGAGTGGTTGGCCACTGAAAAAAAAAGGAGATGGAACAGAGATTTTATTATGTCTTTAAAGCTTAATTAAGATTTATGAGATTTATCATATAAGTCTGCTCCCCCTACGCCCAGGAAGAGTTCCAAGGCCAAGCGAAGCACAATGACGACAGCAATGGATCAGCAACTCATATTTTCGCTTCCGACCACTGATAGTGCGAGTTGCGACCATCACATGTACTATCATTCAGAATGATCGTCATACACTCGTATATATTTAATAAATGCCTCCCTTAACAACCCCATGTTAACGGAAAAGCCAACTAAAATAACAAAAATGTGAATTATTTATTTCTGATTTTCGCACTACACTCTATCTATTTGTTTCGAGTGTTATGTGCGCTTCGGTTAGCCCTATGTGCCGCATAATCGGAAGCGGGGGCAAATAGTTTTTGAATGACGTTTCTCTGAAAAAATAATGATTCTTGGGTAATCCCCTTTTCGCATCAGCCGCGCTTTGGCACATGTCAACACTTGTTTGCCCCAATAGACCATCAGACGGCCAGACAGTCCTACAATTGGACAATTGGACAGGGAAACAGCATAAGCGACATGAGGAGTGCAGTCCATCAATTGCATTCAATTGTCCTTCCAATAGTCGGTGCAATTCAATTGTCAACACCAATTGGCAATTTGTTTGCCTTTTGTATTATTTATTCTAGCTCTTAAAGCCGAATCTTGTAAATGTAACTCCCATTAGTCACTAAAAGAGGACATTAATATTTGAATAGTAAAATGAAAAATAACTAAATTGCATTACACACAATGATAGCTATGTATGTTTGCTAAGGTAATGATGAAGAATTTAAAACCTTAACGTAAAAAGTTATTTTTCCATTTTTAAAATGAAAAAAACAACACAAAGAAAGCAAAAATATTTAAATTTACGTTAAAAATAATCGATCCTAAAATTGATAAAATATGTTTTAATGAAGGAAGATCTATCCAATATCTATTAAAGCACGATATATAATAAATAAATTAGATTGTTTAAGCAATTCTAATAGGTGTTCTGCTTTAATTGCCTATGTAAATGTAGTTATTCTATCTAATTTTCCACTTCATAGGCAATCATTCTATAGAACAATCATCCACTTCTTCAGACTTAAGACATCACTTTCTCAGGATGACTGATGAGTGTGCCTGCCTTATCGACTGTGGCGTATCAGCTACAAGTCGAGCTAATAGATTCCCTCCGAATAAAGGTGATTTACGGAGTTCATTTAGTGTGACAGCCACCGTTTAATATTGTCCGTAAATGGGACAAGTTGGTGAAAATTTGACATACATACGACGAGTTTACGGTACGTATGTGGAACTCTGTTTGTCTTTTGAAGCTTTTGGTAGGGGGCGTGCGTTTAGGTAATAGCTAATGAGCGATTCGAAATTTAAAACAAACATCCGCCGGCCCGACTGACTGTTGAATTGGTGTTTTCCCGCACGTTGGGATGACCTGGTTGAGTTAGGATCCTTCGGCACAGGACATTTTCTGTGTTGCCTTTTCCGCGGAAATAACAAGCGTGTTGACATTGGCGTTGGAATTGGCATGGTCAGTCCATTGACAAACGTCCTGGAGTGGCATTGAGATGGAAACCTTGGGTAAATAGACACAGAGGAGTGTGTGTCGTCGCATCATTTGGTCCTCAAGCGCCATGATGACACAGAAAATAAGTCATGTACCTTGTTAAGTGCCAGAAAATTCAGGTCCTCTACAAAAAATATATACCTATACATTTATTGCCAAAGGAAGGGAGCCTTTCGTTTGGGGGATGATTTTTGTCATAAAGCTCGCTTTTCAATATAATGCTACTGTGATAATTACAAGTTTTATTTATTAAAATTAAACGATAATCACGCTTTTTAACTACTCAACGACACTGATTATTTTTGATTTTTATTACAAAGCCCAGGCAATAATCATCACTATTGTTGATTGAAACAACTGGCGAAATGTGGTCGGCTGTCGACACTCCTAGAAAAAACATTGTAAAAAGTCGGACAACTAAATCGCCCTCATACCATGCATTTAATTGGCTGCTAAATACGTAATTTTGTTGTTTTTTTACAAATAATAAACGTTAATGACGAAATAAAATATGCAATCATGGCCAACATGTGTGGTTACAAATTTGTCCTGCAACAAAAACCCAAATCCCTTATATTTTTGGCTTTAAAGGGAATTAGAAAGTATTTAAAGCGAAAAACATAAATTTCATTGTTGGAAAAACTGCAGATTGAAAATATATTGCAATTGGTTCTAAAAAGGGTACAAGTTGCATGTTGGGCTTATTTTCCTATTGAGGGACCTCCTTTTTCAAAGGTTTAGAATCGTAATAGTAATTGTCCGTTAAAAATTTACTTTAACAGGATAATAGGAAAAGTCTTTTTCAAAAAATCTCTGATATCTGAAAAGAATTTTGTAACCCATACAATAAGAAGAAAAGTTAAAAAATCGTATTTTCGCAAATACTAAAAATATAGACTCAAAAATATATAAATCCAGATGATTGAACAAATTGGGGAACTTTTTTTTCTACAAGGACTACGGAATTTGAATTTGAATACTCACCATAGACTGTCTCGTCGAGCAGTGTCTTCTTGATCTCGAGGACATCGTCGCCACCATCAACACTCTCGATGTCCGTGCGCCGAGGCGGCTTCTCGACGGGATTCACCTCGTTGAGCAGACTTTTCTGCATCTCCATGATGACGGAGCCCTCGAGCATGGAGCCGTTGTGCGTCTTGTCCAGCTTGGAGGAGATCAGCCCGTCGCCGCTCATCATGGTGGTGTCCTTCTGGTAGGTCTTGATCCTGCGGCAGTACCAGAAGAGCGCCAGCACCACCACGATCAGCAGGAGCAGCAGAGTGGTGGTGATCAGGCAGATGATGAGGAAGACATTCGTCTGCGGATCAATGGTGGGCGCTCCAATGGCCCCCATCCCGCCCATGCCGTGACCATCGGAGGCGGACACGGCGCCGGCATAGTCACCGCTCACAAGCAGCTGGAACTCGGCCTCCGCCCGTCCGCCGCGATTGTCTGCCACACAGGTGTAGGCTCCCTTGTCCGAGGCTCTCACGCCCACGATACGCAGCTCCGAGGTCAGCACCTGGGCGGGTTGTTCCGGCAGCTGCTCGACGGAGGTGAGGACGCGCACCCGCGGATCGTACTGCTGCAGTGGCCGTTTGTTGTACACCCAGGTGACATTCGGACGCGGACTGCCGACAATGCGGCAGGGCAGCGAGATGTTATCATGATTCGCCTCTACAAAGGAACGAACTGATCCTAGGATGCGGGGCCGGCAGGCGAAGTTCTCCGATGGCACCTCGCTCCACAGCTTGCCGCGCAACTGGGGCGGCTCCTGGCAATCGGTGGGCGGCGTATACAGACGCTTCTGGATGGCAAAGTCCCGGAAGTCCTGCAGCTCGCAGCTGCAGTTCCAGGCATTGCCCTGCAGCGATAGATGCATCAGCTTTTGCAGATCCTTGAACGTCTCCTTGTGCAGATGGGCCAGTCGATTCTGCTCCAGCGAGATGGCGCTCAGCGCTACCGTGCCGGCAAAGACATGGAGTTGCACCTGCCGCAGTCGATTGTTCCGGAACTCGATGCGCGACAGGTAGCTCAGGTTGACAAACAGATGATTGGGCAGCACCTCGATCTCGTTGTTGTTGATGATCACGTTGCGCAGCTTCTCCAGGCCGGCAAACGTGCCCGGATGCAGTTCCCGTATCCGGTTGCCCGACATGTCCAGCTCGATGAGGATGTGCAGGCCCTTGAAGGCCTCGCGATGCACCTCCTGGATGGTGCAGTTGCGCAGATACACCTTGTGCACATTCGGCAGGCCGGCGAGGAGGAACTCCTCGCGCCTCAGCTCGGGTATTTGGTTGTGGGCAAAGTCCAGCACCTGCATCTCGTTGCTCATGTCCAGCGGTATCTTCGTAAGCGCCTTGTTCTTGCAGTCTGCGCTCTTCTTGCCCGAGTTCCAGTGGCAGTGGCAGGGGCCGCAGCTCTGCATCCAGTCGGACGTGGCCGTTACCAGGGGCAGTAGAAGGAGAAGCATTGCTGCCCCTAGGAGCAGGATGCCCAGCCGTCCATTCGCCTCCGTTCTGGTTATCATCATGGTCGTGTATTGGGATTTGTTGTTAATCCGTGCCAACACGCTCCAAGTTGGTTAACCACCAACTACGAAGTAAGAAGCTCCAAACTCCAATCTCCAAACTGCTGCGGAGAAACCCCTTGACCCTGGTCGTCTGGGTTTGGATCCCGGTGACTGGGGACTGGGGACTTGGGCCGGCCTGTTTACTCGCCTCACCGCGTCCTGTGTACGTGTTCTAAACTCCTGCCCCCTGCTTTCCGGGGTTAATCCTTTTGACGCACTGTTAATTTGATTTCTGCACCCTTCGTGCTCCTGCTCCTCCTTGTTCGCCACTCCTTGATCCTTGCGAATGACAAGGCCGTGATTAATTAATGTCCCGGCGGACAGTGGTGGGTTCTAAGCTCGCAAATGGCCGTGCTTCTCCTGTCGTTTCCACCTGAAAGAATGCGAAAAAATTCCAGAGAGTTTGTCAATTAATAAAGTGTTTCGGAAAGTGTGTGCGTTTTGGTTGGTGCTTGGGTTGGGCCCTACGCTGTCCCAAGGGACGGGGACACAAGGATATAGGGATACAGGGTTACAGGGATACAAGAACTCACGGGGATACCCATGGGGTTGCTAACGAGGCAAAAGGTGAGACATTAGCGACAAGGCCAAAAAGGATTTGCCTTATTGGCAAAAGTTTGTTGTGTGTCATCAATGGGATTGGGTAATTAGCGAGGTAGCCCGGAATTCGGCATCATAACCTTTGGATTGGATGCATGCATGTACAACGTACATGTGGTCCTGATGTAAGAGGATTATGTGCTGGGGTCGTCGGCCCACAGAAATAACACATGTTTCCACAAACTGATCGCTTGGTACTTATGTTGACTTTAAAATTCAGCATTACCCACATATATTTTATGTCAGAGACATTTCTTTGAAAAATGAATCTAATTAGGTTTATTTAAAGATCTATAAAAATAGAAAATTGAATTCCCGTCTTAAGCCAATGAGTGTTGTTTATAGTGATTTCACCTACTATTTTCTAAACCCATGTATCAACCGTAATTAACCATATCCATAACCAATCAAAATGAATCAGAGTTGACAGGCAATAAGCCTTTTTAAATAAGCCGCAATATTCCTCTCAACTGTTGATTTTAGGGAAACTACTTTATGCCACACTATTTTTATGGAAATAATAATATAATGAATTTAAAAGAAATATTTATTAGAATGGATAATTAATATTTGTCTTAACCCAATAGTTGTCTTGTATATTGAATAATGTATGCGAACATGTCATATAATTAAACACATTCATTCAGCTGAACTGTCTATTATTTTCTAAGTCCATATCTAAGCCAATTAAAATAAAACAGAGTTTGCAGGCACTAAGCCATTTAAAATTAGCGACTGTCGATTTTAAGTGAAATGTTCCAAAATAGTATTTTAAAATTCGGACTAATTTCACTTTGAATGCAACTCTTTATTTGTATGTATTTAAATTAAATAAATCCAACACAATTAAAAGGATTTTTGCGGGGTGGAGGGATAATATAGGATCCCCGAGAACTCAGAAAGTGCTGTGCAGATGGAATCTCCCAGAGGAGATTGACAATGGGACGACAAAAGGCAGAAACAAGGATGCGGATTCGGATCCCTCCTGCTCGCCTGGAGTCCCCTTAATCTGGTTCGTCCTCTTTTTGGCTCTTCAGGTGGCAGTCACACAGCGGCTTGATTAATGAAAATGTTGTTAAACTGTGACAGTTTGCGGCTTCTAACTGACTTGCGGCATCGCCGCCATGCTGGCCCGCCCCTGTTTGGCTCTGGGTAAAGCCAGGCCATCATATTGGATGGTATAATGGTGGTAACATGGGAAACGGGTAAAAGGGTGGATGGCTTATGGTGGATAGTATATCGGAGGACCCACCGGGAGGGAGCTTTTCTTTTAAGCAATTGCAAACAAGACAAAAAAACAATTCTGCGGATGAAGGACCCGCCTCTTTAGCATTGAGCCGGGTTCCGCTTTAATTAAGCGCCATTCGTGACGTCAACACTTCCGAAAACCCAACCAAAAAAAGAAAAGAAAACGCCACGTGCTCTCATGTCTACACACTTTCCAAACAAATATTGATTCATCCTTGTTGCGCCCCCCAAAAACCTTATAAATACCAAAACACATAAATTATTTAGGAACTATAGCTATATGAAAACCAACACAATCAAGAGAAAAAGGCTTATATTTATTAGAAAAAAAAGTAATTCATAACTTCATCAATTCTTTTTCGATTGCCCTTCAATAACGTTTGCTTAGTTATTATTTATTCATTGAAAAATCAAAAAGAACCCTACCCTCCCATCTAAAACTCTACAACGAGCTTTTATAAAGGAAAGAAGAGATATATCCGAAAATGGTATACCTTCTTATAAATATCCTTTTAAAAATATCTTGTTTTTCTGTAATATTTATTCTGAACGTTGATCTACCATTGTTATTGATATAAAACGCATAGTTAAATAAATTTATATTTTACTGGCTACCGAAAGATATAATAACATAATTAATTATTTATTTAGCTTATAAATAACGTATCAAGTGAGTAGGGGAAATTTAATTTACTCCTTGGATACAAACCACTAATGGATTTAATTAGAACTGAGTTATGTTCCCCAATCGAGTTTCATTTAATTGCATTTCATTCATGATGGTTCTCAGTTTTAATTGATACTTGCATAAATTTTAAATGTATATCTATAGACGTGTGTGTTTTGATTTAATGTATATTATTTTATCGTTTTACATGTCTATTACCAAAAAAAAGTGGTATGTATCCATTTCTACAAATATTTACTAATATTTTAATATAAACAGAAAGACAAATATTTGGTGTTCCCGATACGTTCTGGATTGGGCACAGAATGGAGCTTTTGTGTCGGGTTCCATTTGGACTGATTTCAAGTTCAAGCCTTCGGGAAAATCAAGAGGCGGAGATAAGTGGGGGTTTTAAAGGCCGCTTCGTTTCATTCGTGCATTCGAATCCAGTTGGATGGATATATACACTCGTTCTTTGAGCATGCCCCCCGTGTGTGTTGTTTGTTTTCCTTTTGTTTGAGCACAATTTTTGTATATTTTTTCGTTTTGTTTTGTTGGCTGTGTGTCAGCGGTTTTTTGCTCGGATAGAAAAAACCTCAAAACAAATTAAATATGCAAATAAAAGAAAAGCGGTGCAATTTTTCGCTTTGTTAAATATTTTCTCAATGGGTTTTCGTTCGTTGTTTCACCACTGGGTAGCTGGTATTGGGTTGATTTCGTTGAGAGAGGGCTATTGTCGTGGGTTAGAAAGTGCAGGTTGTTGTGAGGATAAATGTTATGCGGTGAGTTCCAGGCGAAGAACCGCCAAACTTGGATTAATACCTCAAAACTTTTGAATGCGGAATCGCAGCCATATACAACGACGACGACGACGACGACCCACCCAAAAAACTTTTGAGTTACGCATTCTGTAATGTGTATGTGAAATTTGTTGGGATGGCAAAACCCACCAGTAAATCCTAGCTTTTGTCCCTGTCGGCAAATTAACATTTTTAGTGGGTAACTCGCAGATTAGAAGGAAGCATTTCCAACACTTTATGGACTGGAAGCAACATTTTGAGCATGATCACCTCGACTATCAGATACCCACTAGTAATTCAAATTTTTGTTCCTATATATGGCTTTATTTGATTATCAAAGATTAGCCCAACTAAGTTATAAAATTGTAGCCAGAAAGCATAAATCCATTGGCAATAAAAAATATACATCGATTATAGCAGTTGACAGACGAAAGAAATTTGTCATGTACTCAGGGTGAAAGGTGCGACATGTCCTATTATTCAAAATGAACGCAATACATTGTCTATATTAATTAAATGCCTTTCCCTAAAGGGAAAAGCCAACTAAAAGAAAATAATTTTTTTTCGCACTACACTTTGTCATTCTGTTGAAGGGGCTTTCGAGTGTTATGTGCGCTTCTGTAAGCCCGATGTGCCTCATAATCCAAAGTGGGGGCAAATAGATTTTGACAGAATGATTCTTGGGTAATCCATTTAAATTTTAATTTTAAATTACATTTTTTTATGAAAATTGTCTTAATTCTGAGAAGCTTTAAGCTGTGGGTATGGGCGAAAACAATATATTTCAGTTAAAAGTTTGGTTTTATAATCAAAACTGTATTAACTGTATTATAGAAGTATTAATTTCTTAACTGGCAGTTTTTTGCTCCTAATTTTAAATACTAATTTATAATTTTTAAATGACTAAAATAAACATGACAAAAATGAAACAAAAATGTGAAAATGCAGATATTTTATACTATGAGTAGTTAATTTGCGTACTATTGCATTGATAATGGAAAAAAATGTAAGCGTATTTTATTATTAAGCCGCCAGTAAATTGCTCCTAATTACAAACACTGTATTACGAATTTTGCAAACGCTAGGCACGAACAAAAAACAAACAATGTGAAAGTACAAATGTGAGTAATATAATTTCTCCTTTCTAAAAGGAGAATAAAATACAATCAAAGCTTCTAAATCTCAATCTTAATCCTCTGGTCTGCAACGTGTTCGAAATGCAAAAATTTGATTTTAATTTCATCTTTTCATCGCATTTATAAATAAAGCAATACAAATTGATTGTTTTATAAATAACTTAAGTCCGTCCGCGTTGGTTTTGGGCTGCAAACGGCCTCTGTCATAGAATTTAACGTTGTCATTTTATTGGCAATTGCGGTTGTAATTGCTATATGGTGGGCTCGCCCCGTACTCAAACGATACAATACGATGCGATTCGAACTGAACTGAACTGAAATGAACCCGAACTGAACCCACCATGAAAGTCCAGGGCCTCTCCGCAAAATCCATGGACAGGCGACCATTGTCTATTGTCAGCTTAAATCGATTTAAACAAATTTAATTGCTTTGGTTTCGGGTTTCGTTTTATTCATTTTATTCATTTTATGGCGCCCAATTCACATTTCTTTGTTTTTTCGCTTTTTTCTTGTTTTCCGCTTTTTGGGTTCTGGGTTCTCTTTTCCATTTTGTCGTATGCCAATTGGCAATGGCATTTTAAGTGTGTCTATGTAACAAAAGTTGTTGAACCGTTGAAAGCGGACAAGAATTCAATTTTTTGTTATTTTGTCGTCACAACAATTTGTTGCTAAATGAAGCGAATTTCTTTTTTCCCCGCCTTTCTGTTATTATTTGCCCTATTTTTCCGATCCATTCGCGTTAAAGTAACATCAGCAATGGCAAATGGCGAATACCAATGTCTAAATATACATATAGGGGTACCCATCGCCAGGAAACCCAAGCTCCAAAAGCTTATTTTCCTATTTTTACGTCAAGGTTGTTATAATTTTTGTCGCCTAGGATTGTAACGCCGGAAGGCAGTTATTTTCAATCACCGGTAGA